ACTAATCTTACACATTTGGTTTAATTGGTGTGGGTTTATGCCATTTTCCCTTATATTTTAATCATTATCACAAAATTAATCTCTCTTATTTATAATGTTGTAGGAAAATGTTGTTAAAGGTAAAATATTAAACAACGATGTAGAAAAATTTAAAACAATAATAAATGAGGAAGATATGTTTTGTATAAGAGATTTCAAGATAGTACCAAATAAAAACAAATATAGATTAACAAATAATTAAACACAAATTTATTTTACATAAAATATAAGTGTGGAAAAGATTCCTGCCATCATTTGTACTATTCCCAAAGGAAATTTTCAGATACACTCATACATCGATTTGCTAGCGTTGGCAGACAAAAACCAAGAGCTACCAGGTTTGCAAACTTCCAAATATTCCCAAACAAATTACCACTTTGATTACCAAAATTATATGTTTTCTTATGGTGCAGAGGTTATAGGAGTTTTGGTCACGGTAGAAGGATCAAATTTACGAGATGCATCGTCAACACAGAAAATTGTTCTGCGCATATCATTAAAAGAGTAAGTTTGTTATATCTAAATTAAATTAATACTTTCATAATTTCAAAATTATAAATTTTGATTTAAATCCTAACAAAGTTTTCAATAATCAAAATCTAAAAACCAGCAACAATATCGTAAAACTTTCTATATGGGATGATCTCGCGACAGAAACCCGTTCACAAATGGACAAGTTGAATGTCAGAAGAACTATTATAGTCATTACTGCAGTAAATCCAAAGATTATCGACGGTAAATATAAAAATAATATAAACTATAGATTTTTGATATATTTATCTCTAGCTCAAGATCAATATTATATAAACTAATTGATATGTTTTATGAATCAGGTGTTTTATCGCTATACACATCATCAGCTACACGGATTTATACGGATGCACCACTCAACATCATCAAACACTATCGTGCCAGGTATACAAATTTATCAATCATTACCACAATGTTCACTTCAATATTCAAGAATATAATTTTATGTATTTGTTATTATCTAACAACTAATTTTTATTTCACAAATTGAAGAATAACAAAGATTGACAATAAAGACATCATAAGCAACCTTTTACAAATCAATTCGTTCAACGCATATGTAACAATGATTTTATTACATAATGATTCTATAATATAAGAATACAATAATGATTAGATTCTTTCACTTCTCCGCTATTACTAATATATATATTTTTTATACTAATTAAATACTATAATATAACTTTGAAATATATATAAAATTTATATACAATCATAACAATGAATTTATGTACCCGAAAAAATAACAACCCGCACATCGCGCAGGTCTCACCTAGTATCATACAAAAGTTCAATCAACATAACGAATACAGTTCATCCTGACAGTCCAATAAATCCATGAAAAGGAAACGTCATCACATAACATATCCTCTACAGGTCCATCATCAATTAACAGAAATCATCAATCATCAATCATCATTCATCAATCAACAATCAACAATCAACAATCATCGTACATCATAAATTTGCAAAAAAATTTAAGGCGTCTATTCTAAAATCCTAACCGTATGGTATCTATGTTCCCTATTTTTATGTCTATATGAATAGAAGAAAGAGGAATTTTGTCAAGTTTCCTCACCTCGATATAAAACGATGAATCTCGAAATATCCACTCTAATACTCGATCTCGGATTCACAATCTCGAGACCTTCTTTATCTATGATTAATTAATAATTAATAATCCTAATTAAAAAAATTATCATATCAAAAATATAAAAATATTTTGATTTTTTTGTAAAAAGTTGTGAATTTAGAACCACAGACCATTGAATAAGATTCCGGCGATGATGCGGATGAAATTACCATGACGAAAGAAGATAGAAAGAAAGAAAATTAGTGATAATAAAAAGCAAAGAAAGAAGAAGAAATAAAAAAAAGAAATTAATAAAAATAATAAGAAGAAGAGAAGAAGATAAAAAAGGATATAGGGAAATGGAGATGATTTGACG